TGTTTTTGCCAACATTTTTATTGATCTGTCCAAGATTGTATGTGTCGGTAAACGTAAAATATGAAAATGTCGGTAAAACATTTCTGTTAGCCGAAGGTCGACAAGGGTAGAACTTTACTGTTTGCCTTTGTGATCGCAAAAGGGTAACATTTTTATATGTTGCCTTATGTCGACAAGACGACTCGCACAAATTTAAAGAATATTTGTTATAGAGCGGGAGCACAGACTTTTGCATAAGGGTATAAACGTATTCACAAGGAAATTAATTGGGCCATTTTTTAATGCATTTGCTTATGGACCAATTAATTTCTTTATGTACATATTGTATGTATGTACACTTATGTTAAAAGTTTATGCATAATGGTGATATTATCAGAGAGAAACCTGAGAGCGGGACCTAATCGTGGGACAATATGGCATTTTGAAGAGTTTTATGAGAGTTTTTTTGAAATTCTTCAAAATGCTATGTTGTCCTATGATTACATGATTTTCAGGATAAATTTTGAAAGAAAATTCTCTCCGTGTATTATCTCAGCCAGGATTTGAACGTGGACCTCCCTACACTCTAGGCGGGCGTTTCTCCCACCAATTCAACCACTGAGGCGTGTGGTAATATTTATCGTAATAAACCAGGGCCGGCTTGAGATTTTTGAAGCCCAGGGCTATTGACTTTGTGAAGGCCTTTTAACGAAAAAGCGGGTGGGAGGACATTTTATACAAAAACGCCGGCGTTTTACTTGATACCATTTTCGCTCGGCTCATTCCAGTGCCTTACGCCCATTTTTATTTTTGAAACTATTCCGCTACACCCTGCATTTTCAAGCACTGCCGATAAAGTCTCCTCTTGGTGCGTGTCCGTGCTATGCCCATTTTTCAAGCGAGTAATACATTGACTTGCGTTGGTTTCGTTGGTCAACATACTTTTGAGTTGCAATGTCCTGTAATTAAACTTGTAGATCGTTAAATTCCTTGAGAAGAACCACAACCCGTATGATCGAAACGTCGGATTTAAATAATAAAACCATCTTCCAGCCTAAAGTCGTCTAACAATTCCTTTTATCGTTAATCAACTACAGGCGATTCACATTGTTTCGTTGCTGACGTATAAATTATATGTATAATTGTAAAATATAAAAATTTGCTGACAAGCTACGTATGTAGTACTTGGCCTGTCAACAAAATTTGTAGTAGATTGTTCTCGATAAATTTGGTTATCTATATATTTTATTATAACTTCGTATTTTCTAGTTATAAATGAAATAATGCCTTTCTTTTAAATCTGAATTAAATTTTTATCCGATAAAAATAGACCAACTTGTAAAGGCTCTTTACCACCCCCGCCGATTTCAATCGGCGGTCCAGCTCTTTTCTTTACAATGTGATATTTTACAATTTTATTATCTATTTCATTTTTCTTATAATTTACTTTACAATGCATATAATATTAAAAAAGAAATAATTACATTATAAAATTAAAAGTATAATATTTGTACGAGACAAAATTTCTCTCGACATTACATGTGAAATATTCGGTATGCATGCAATAACATGAAATTATTGCAATGTAAAATACATATATATTTACATTACATGTTCATGGAATAAAAAATATCCCGAATGTGTAATATTTATTAACGATCTCTTAAAAGTAAATCAAATCCACAAAAATTTGAAGTAGTTTTAATTGGTAGTTTTAACTAAATGGCTTTACAAAACTGCAAAATTCTTTCACACGATTAAAGTACGCAGAAAGACATAACCAGGAACAGTCATCTTTATGTAAAAAACGAAGAGAAATTGGAACTATCACTTTATAAATGATTGCGGTTAGCAATTGCTAAAGTGATAGTTTTTATTTCTCTTGGTTTTTTTTATATAAAGATGACTGTTCCTGGTTTTGTCTTTATGCGTACTTTAATCTTGTGGAAGAATTTTGCAATTTTATAAAGCTAATTTCAAATTTAGGTAAAACTACGAAGTGAAAATTTCAAATACCAACATCTTTTTTATTAGACTTCTGAACTGAGTGTTTTAAGTATGAAAATGTTGTGCTATACGGTCCGCAACTTATCCTGGTATTATTTTGTGCATAAAAGCTAATAAAAAGAATTACAAGCGCGAAAAGTATATTTAACTGTGTCTGTAAAAAAGATGGCTGAAGTATCCTCTTAATGGAGTAATTTTCGTAGTTATTATTTTCTAAAGAGAGTTAAACATTTCTGACATATGAAACTTAATCTTTTTCACCGTTTTTTTAAGTATACCTATGTCGTGAAGAAATAATCTTCTTATGCACGGAAACAGATACGACGTAAACAATGCTGAAGTAATGATAAAGTCTAACTTGATTGATATGATCTATTCTTCTTGTTTTACTTGTCGCGAAACTCGAGCTGTAGATATAAGCGGACAAAATGTAGATGCAATCAAAGAAGCAAACAGAGACAATTATGTATTACATGCATTTATGCCAAAATTAAATGAAACAAAAAATATTAATTCTCACCATCATAAATGTGCAGATAATGTCATAAAGAAAATGAGGATGGAATTAATACATTTGCTATCTCATTTATCGCGTCTCCACGTATACATAATCATAAAGAGTCTTCTATACCGAACAAGAATTGAATCTAGAATTTCGATCGATACAGCGCCCGTAACTGCGACGGATATTATTTTCCAGAAATGTATATGGCTCGCTAAACACAACACGGCAGATGGGTGGATTTTGTTAACGTAAAGAAATATTTATACATATATACATATATAATAATATCTGTGCCTTTAATCTTATCTTTAATATATAATTTAAAATTTATTAATCGATAATTAAAAATGCCAAATAACAATTCACAATTAAAGACGTTGGTATTAAAACTGATCAATTCCTATACTCTTACTAGGCTGCTAAGTTTTATAAATATACATATCTGCTAGGTACTGTTATATAATTAAGTTGATTACTTATTAAATAATACGGTACATTATAGTAAATTATCTTGTTTGAGTTTCTCTCTCTCTCTCTCTCTCTCCCCCTCACCCTTTTCTCTCTCTCACTCTCTCAATCACGTAAATACAAGTTTAACTTGTGATTTATCAATGTGTGAAATATTTGGTGTCTTTAAACATTTAATCATTTTATATATCTTTTAAAACTTACCTTGGTGAATATTAAATTTGAAGTAAAAATATATATCTAGATTAATTCTTTTCAGTTCTTGAAACTGTTGTTGAGAGCATTAAATTCTTTGAGTTTATTTTTGCACAAAATATGAACAAAATGTTTTATTGTCTAATTTTTTGTTTAAATCAATTTGTGAAATTGTATTCTATTTTATACAAAGTGTATCGAAGGTATACTGTAATTAGGTTAATGTACCGTACACTCCATAATATTGAAGACGCGAGATTACTTAGTTTGTCCGAGACTTAGGTATTTTTAAATTTAAATATTGCCATCATTATAGCAATCTCATTTCGTTAGAAGGCTTCTCAAACAAATTATTATACGTACAGTAGCTACAATACACTAACGTTAATGAGAGAATTTCATAAAAGAAAACAAAATCTTTTCTAAAACAAACACCGTTCTTTTCTTTACGCAATGTTAGTTAAATAAAGAAAGTAGTAATATAAATTTGTCCTTCAAGTATCACTGTATTTAAAGAAAAATAGTGTAAGAAAAACAACTGGTCGACAATCAATAACGTGCAGTAGTTTGCGTGCTTTCTTGCTTATACCCATTGTCTTGATCGCAAAGAAGTTGAAAAATACATTGGCAGAGAGAGAGAGAGAGAGAGAGAGAGAGAGAGAGAGAGAGAGAGGGAGAGGGGGGAGGAGGAGAAGGAGGAAAAAGCACAGATTAAAAATTTTATTCGATGGTGTGTTCTGATTGACGTATAATTCATAATATAGGTCGTCTTCGTCTAACGAATCCTTATGCTCCAACAGAATAAAGGTAAAACGATTTTACAGTTCAAGAACGGGTGTACAGTTTATGTAACGTGTGTAAGAGTTGCGCAGTTCTTTTAAATTCCATGTTTTGTAAATAAAATTAAAGTTTTGTTTATTTTAAGCCTTTTGATCGATAAAATATACTTGATACATTCGTTTCTGGTTAATGTGTCTACACATTAATGATTACGGAATTATTATTTTAGAGCCTCTTAGCAAATTGAGTAATAGAAAATCTTTGCTAACCAATAAGCTCTTTAAACTTGATAACTAAAACTTGATTAACTTTATTTCAACAGGAAATTTTAATAGAAGAAATAATAATTTATTTGTTGAAAAATAAAAAGATTTCAATTTTTAAATAGACATGTAAAATTTGTTAAAGTACGATGACTATTGAGAATCTATTTATATTAAAGTTTCTTTTGTTTTCTGCTAAATATTCATCATTAAATATTTATTGTTAAATATTTGCCACACATTGATCGATATTTTGCAAAGATTCAGGAAAATATTATATTGCGAATTGACAATTTTCAACGTTACTATTTCCCTATCTAATCGTATCGTTATAAAATCTGTTAAAAATGTAATTTATTATAGATAGGTACAAACAATAGGAGTAATAAAACATTTTGTCATCTCTTTTGTTATTCTTTAAGAGGATCTTGGAATCAATTTCTTTTTAGACACAATTTAATGCTATTAATTCACATTAACAAATTGTCACAGTAAACATTGGTAAAACAAAAGTAGAATTAAATCTTCTCCCTAAAATCGTTGTCGTCCCTGAGATGTAACCTGTTGCGGCGCACGCACCCTTTCCTGTCTCACTTTCGTGCCCGATATCCATCTTCTCTTCCGTCTTCCGCCGTCCCCTAGTTAAGGACCCTCTCTCTCTCTCTCTCTCTCTCTCTTCCCCCTTTCTCCCTCCCTCCCTACCTTTCTCCCTCTCTCTCCCCCCTTCTCTCTCTCTCTCTCTTTACACCCTTCGGTGGCGGAACCGGCCACCTACCACCCCCAGCCACCAGCTACGCTCAGCGGCGAATCGTCGTTTTCTGGTGGTGCACGACGAGCCCTGGCACTGGTCGGGCGCGTATAAAGTCAGTCGGGCTAGCCCAGTATCGCGGCACCGTGATACCCGGTGACACACATCCATGTCAGGTCGTGATAGACGCACCGAGAACGGGGATCGAAAGTCGCGACAAAAGTATTGTGTATTTTCATACGTGAGAGTGCTGGAATGAATTTAATCGTGTGACTGGGTGGTAACCGTGCCGATCGCGACACTCGTAATAACAGTTAGTATACCGAGATTCTAACGAGGGTGAAGAATACAATTAATCATTATTGCGTGTCGCGAGGCCGAGGCAGTCCGCTTGTTGTTACTACTTGGGCGACCGACGACGAATCGGGTCAGCGTGGCGTCTAAGTAGTTGTAGTCCGCAACAGTTGAGGCATTCATCTTGTCCTTAACACAGAGAGAGATAGAATAGGCTGTTGTGATGTAAAATTAATTGGATCGGGTCACGGGTAGAGTAATGAGCTGCGGTCGTGCACGACCGCTGAACCGTAATGAAATCAGATGTTTCTCTATTCAGCTTTATACACGATTAACGGAGAGTGGCGATTGTGAAGAGCAAAGTGGAGTTTTGTCGAACGAGATAAATTTTTAGAAAGTAGGGCAAAACGGACAGCTGCGAGAAAAGGATTACGATCCTTAGGAGACTCGAGTCCAAGACAGACAACGGTAATATAATTTTATCAAATCTTAATAGATATGTCAATCAGAATGAATATCGATTTTAATTGATGTTTGGATCAGCTACTGCCTACTCTTTTTTCACCGTGTCGTGAATGTTTGTCAAAAACCGATCTAAGGGTCCACAATTTTTTTTTATTGAACACAATTACTCTCGTAATCCTAAAAAAATTTAGCGATTGTCGTGACATTCTACAAAATTACGATAGCACAAGAGAATTCTAATAATGCTCGCGATTTTCTAAAATAATAAATAAGAAGAAACAAATTACTTTACTACATTAATAAACGAGCACTTGATTACATGGTGTAATGTAGAAATAATGCGGCAGTTTTTCGCGTAGAAACATTTGACGTGCTCCTTGAACTAAATTCCATAATATATAAATGCGAATTATGTAAAATTAATGTTCGATTTCTTTTAAAACACGCAGTTGTGTTCAATAAATATTGTGCTGTAAAATTATTTTTGGTTCAGCAATCTATTGACTTTTTACTCAATATTCAAGCAGTAGTTGTTTTTTGTACCATAATTTATGTCATTTTAATGGCTTACATTAATCAACAAATTTATCAGTTAAATGGATAATTACAAATTATCTGAAAGGACACTCTTCTCACTAAGCTTAATATACTAAAAGCGTCAACCTGTATTTACAACAATGTAAATTTGTCAAGCGCTGTTTACTGCGTTTTATAAACGAGAGAAAAATTGTATAAACGCGTATGAACTGAATTGGGGACGAGAGCGCTACCCGGGCTGTATCCGAATAGGTTGAGTTAAAGTGACGAGGTAATTAATCGTCCGCAAACGTACGGCAATAACGCGACTGATTGATTTTACGAAAGCAAATGACGCTTCGGGCAAATGCATCTTTACCTGAAATGATACGTAATTAATATATCACGGGCTTTGCCGATAGTTATATCCAACATAACAATAACAAATTACGCGATAATGAAGATACTACCTATCGAAATGAGATTATTTAGGTTGACGATAATTGATAGTCACAATTCAGATAACAGATATTGAATTATTTCCCGTGTTCAACGGCTTGCCTTTTCTTTTGATAAATTTAGTCTGTTTTGGTATATCTATCTTCCTTCGGTATACACCACGCTTGTAATATTTATGCTCTATTATAATAAAAGCTTCCCATTAATAGCATTTCTATTAAAAGCCCTTATACCATTAATTTATGTGAAAATTCACTCCCGTTAGTAGTCAAGCGAGTAAATAAATATTGATTTTTATCACAGGACACAGAGAGTTCGCGTGCGACTTTCCGCGAAACTGTTATTCCACTGCTATTGTCGAATTCGAGACTCCATTTGCTCGAAGAACCGCGCTACTTTCCGAATACTTGGTACGCGAGTGTAAACTTTTGCGTTTGCTCGAAAGCAGCGCAAGGTACTCGAAAATTGATTGCTGAAGCAATAGATTCGCGTCGAACGTCCAAGTGTTTAACAGCTTGACGATTACAGGTACAAAAGTGATAAGGTGGGTAACGCCAGGTTCGAGTCATCGAGTTAACATCCTTTGTTAATTATTACGGACGAGTTTCTGCCGCGTTAAACGTCGCGCACATTGCCGAGGAAAGGATAGCAAGCGACTTGCCTCGCGGCCGCGACTTTCCAACTCGGACAGTTGTTTTGGACGCGTTCGTCAAAGTGCCGGACAAATTGTCAGAGGTTCTGGGCGATGTCCTGGAGCTATGCGGCGGAGGCGGAGGTGGCGGTAGCGGTGCTGCAACCGGAGACAGGAACATGTCGAGCAACACGTCGTCGGGTGGAAGCGCGGCTACTAAGATCGGGGCAGTGACAGGGGTAGCGATAATCAAGGGTAGATGGGCCCAAAGAGGCACGAGATCGCCCCTCTCTTCCGTCGCTAATACCGATAGTGCCGACAGTACAACTTCGACCAGTTCGGAGGTACAGCTGTACATTTCACAATCTTATTATATATAGATTCAACATTTGCAGCTAATCACTCGATACTTGTGTGATTATACAAGATATTATTTTTTATGATTGAAGGAAATGTTACAAGTCGCCAGAAGTAATTAAAAACTTGAGAACGATTACTTGACCATGTCTGGCAAATTTTTATCTTCAAACTCACAACTCAAGTGATGATTTACTGACACAATCGTCACTTGAGAAGGACCATGGTCGAAACGTTGAGAGCTTGAACATAAAAACTTGCCAGACATGCTCCAGTAATCTTCTCAAGTTTATTATTTTTTACTTTTTATCTTTCTCGTTAAATCTCCCGGGGTATTTGTATCTATATTATATTATATATTTGCTACATTTCGCGCAAGATACATTTTCACATATTTACATGTGCTTTTTGCTCTAAATGAAATGTTTGTTACTTTCAATTCAATTAAAACTGAAAATTAAATCGAAAGATACATTTGGATCAATTTCAAATACTCAGAAATATTCAGACTTTCGAAAGCCACTTAAAAAAAATTAGTTATTCTTTACGGTAGCTCTTACAGTTTGCTTACAATCAGAATAGAAATCTCCAAGAAAAATATCCTCTCGGATTATTCGCGACAACTTTAGACGTACGCGATAGTGCTATGCACACCTTCAACACCTCGGAAATCTGGATGCACTTGTTGCGCCCGTTCTAGCGTGGGCTTCTCTCTTTGTTACGCGTTCTCAACAACTTCGCTCACCGTTCTCTCGCGTGTCGCGACCATTTTACGTTGCACGTGCAACTAATCTCGAACGATGGATTTAATTAGAATTATTCCTTATCTTCCAGGCAATGCTACTTCTTTGCCACACAATTTTCTGACAATTCTCTTGTTAAAACAGCTGACTGTGACGACATTTTGAGTTATTGCAATTTGCAAAAGAAAAAAAACCGCGAAACATAAGTTTCATTCTCAAGTAAAATAAAAATTACGTAAGTTTGTCGATGTTGTTCATGTAATGGAATCACTATAAGTAAATTGAGTTTTGGAGCTCACCATAGAAAGAGTTGACTGTTATCCATCGATTCAACGTCGTCCTAGAAACGCTCACCTGTTAATAGAATATAGGTAGGATGTGATTCGATAACCAATCACGCCATTATGACAATTAATTAAATGGAAATTAAGTTTATAACATAGGCATCGCCTAACGTTACCTATTGTTAACCATTAAATAATAAGTATTAATTGTATACCTTTTGAGTTTGTTAAAAATAAATCAGAATATAAAACTTGAAAATTACTAACACATATTATTATCATATGCAAATATGTTTAAATCAAATTTAATATATTAATCTAGTTTAAAGAATTAATTATTTAACAATTTGATATCAAATATGCAATTTAAATGTATGTACATACATATACATAAATAATTATGATTAGTCAACGAATAATTATTTTCAATGAATTTTGTATAATACACGTAATAAGGGACTTTCAATTAGCAGAGTATAATTTACTATTAGAAGAAACGTGTCGAAGCTCCAAGTTATTCATTGTTATGCCGTGTCAAATCTTAATAATTTTCTTTTCTCGATTATCGATTATTGTTATGCTGCGTAGTCAACTCTTGCGGAGCACGTATTCAACTCTCTGACGTAGTTAATTAAAATTCAACAAATTTTGTATAAAACGACGTATGCCATGCTTCTGGATCAATGCCTTTCAGTTGACAAGGAACGAAGAGTGGTTAATTGGCATTGGAACAGCTGTGACAGATACACGATCATTCGTGACCGAGATATTTTCATTGACTGACACGCGTCCAATTTCTAAAACTCTTGATAAATCACGTAACTTACAATACCATACGTTGCAAATCTGAGATATCCGATACTAAATCCACATTACTATAATAGAAATTGTAATTGCAATTGAACGTGTACAAAGTGGATCATTTGTGGTAAAGAACAACGTCATTGAGAAACTATTGTAGCTATTATTCTTTTAATTAATGATACTTCTCTCAGTGCTTGAGGATATTTTAATTTTTTTAAGTGCATTTATCTAAATTTTTCTCTCTACTTGTAAATAATGTATTTTATTACAGTCGAGGCTTATTCAAACATGCATAAATTACGCGTTGTTTTTTTGAAAAGTAGAGAAATTTTATAATTATATACATATATCATAAAGATACCTGGAACCATCGCTTTTCCGTAAACAATACTTTACTATGAACTGTTTCTCGTTGCTTGTTTAAACCACGTATTATAAAAGATTACATTTTTCTGCAAACAAGTTGTAATTCCATCTTTGTTATCAAGTCTCGGATAACTTCATCTCACACAGTCTCGCGCTTTCCGAGATATTTCACAACGATCGAGCGTGAACTTGATGCGGAATGAAGAAGCTATTTGTAATTGTGGATCGTAACTGAGCGCATCTGCATCCCAATAGAAATGATACTTGCGACGCACCTAAGTACAGAGAATACGTTCTCCGACATAATCATGTAAATTGCGCATTACGCTATTCTCTTCAAACATGAGATACATGTGGTATTTCCACAAATGTGGAAGACAGCGTGTGTGCGTGCGCGTGTATATCTTTTACCACAGAGGCACTGTACTCTCTGCACGGGCGCAATGCTATTTGGAGTAAATAAAAGTACTATCTTCTTCATAAAAGAATTATACAAAAATTACATGTGTACGTGCAGATTTGTACTTATACATGTACTTTTGTTTACTTTACTGTGCATTAAAATCATTCCTTGCAATAACGTAGCTAATTTTGTTTTGCATGAAATACTTATTAAACAGAAAATAAACATAATGCTTTTAACATCTCTTTGTCACATAAGATATTGCGTTTATATATTATTTGATACATCATTTTTTAGTAATAGATTTGCTTACAAAAGTATTTGAAATGGTTGTACCTAAAACTAGAATTATTTTGAACATCAAAATTCTATCAAATTTCTATGATGAAAATTGAACAAACGAGAAGTCACTTTATGCATTCTGTTACATTTATGTATATATTACAGTATGCCGTTGTAGTCGACTAAACTGTTTCTTTTCTTTTTTGAATTTTTCCAGTTTTGTATAGAAATTGCAAAGTGTTAATTAATTTATTTAATTAAAATAGAAATAGATTAAAAAATAGTCAAAAACTCACACATACACGTTTGCAAAAACGAAGAAGAAATTGATATAGAAATCATATCTGCCAGGAAATGTGTACGTCATGCGTATGTAAATGCAAAGTTACGTTAAATCCTTTTATAAAATTTTCCTACCTTATAACATCCGATATATGAGATACTTTCAATTAGACAGAGTCCGTGAAGAAGAATTTAATAATATTTTATATTTTTTAAATAAAATGGACAAAGAACTGCAACTCATTGATAAATTATGACGAAATATAGAATTCTTAAGAATTAGGTATTTTATACATACATATATATATATAAATGCAAAAATCATATTTTTATATCTATTTCAATTTTAATTAAATTAATTAATTAGCACTTTGCAATTTCCCAGAAAAACTTTAAAAGTGCAAAAAAGACAATTTCTAAACTACAGCCGCGTAATGTAATAGATAAATGTAACAGAATGCACAAAATGACTTCTCGTTTCTATGTTCAATTTTCATCATAGAAATTTGATAGAATTTTGATGTTGAAAACAATTTTAGTTTTATGTACAACCACTTTGAAATACTTTTGTAAGTAAATCCATTATCAAAAAATTCTACTTTGATTAACTTGCATTGCATTTTAAAACATTCATTAGTGGATGATTTTAATTATTCACAACTAATTTCGATTTTATTAAGTATAATATATAGATTTAAATGTAATGTTTCAACGTTTTATATCGGTTCTATTCTAACGTCTAGGTCACTCGTTTTAATCGTGACTTTACTAAATTCTGCCACCAATATTTATTATGCATGGTCGATGACGGTACATTTTCCAAGTGAACATATTTTACCTGCAGTACTCCGTGCGAGTCCGTCGTTTGTCCTCGAAATATTCCGTTCGCTGCTTATATGGGGCGTCATTCTGGACATGAAATGTTTTATCTACTACAAGGAACTTCGTTCCAGTACGCTACGTACCGGTCACCGTTGTGTCGGACAAAATTTGCATGATAAAGCAAGTTAATTTTTCTGCCGCGGAGTAAAATTAAAGTGGACGCTACGTCGTTATAAAAGAAGTTTCGCGCGGGGGAAAAAAGAAGAAATTCTTGTAATGTGCATAGGTATATGAATTTTTAATATTGATATTTCGCAATTGGCGCTTTTCGGCGCGCGCGCGCGCGCGCGTGTTATCGAGACGCGTTATCGATTCGATTCGCATGGGATCTATTGTTATTACCTAGAGTGATTTTAATTAGGTCCTCCGCATTTTTGTTTCTTGATTCTGGCCTCTTTCACGTTTAATTATGATCTATATACATATACAACTAATATACAATTTGTATTTTATTCTTTAAATGTTTAACATAGAAATTATATAACAGTTTTGCCTCCGAAGAGAGGAAACAAATTCATATTTAAGGTACATGTCGGGATACGCGATATTATGTAAATACGTAAAATATTACCCAGGATTTTCTGTAGATACTTTTAAATGAACAAAAATTATTTTAAACAAAAAATTAACATAATGTAAAATTGCGATAAACAGTTGTTAATCTCAGTGTATACAATATTGATTTCATATAGCTTTATTTATCATTTACAGATCTCTTGGAGGTACAGATTGTGTTTAATTTGTCAGACATGAGGTAACGGCCGACATAAACAATGCTATTGTTCTGCTAAAATTTACACAGCAGGTTTCGTCAGTTAGTACGCTTACAAGTGACAAACATTTAGATCCTTATGTATAATTGTTATACACATTTATGTCAACATAAATCTCAATCGATGAGATAATATCGTAGATAGGAAAACGATAGATAGGAAAACAATTTTGATGTTTCGGCTCGGTGGGCGGAACCGTGGATTCCGTTCCGTGCTCTGCTCCAAGTATCGACCCGTCAAAGGCAGCCTCCAGCGACCTCACCCCGTATAACTGCCACCTACCCTCTCATCACGATGCTGAAACACGAAGTTGGTATCTTTGAGTCTCTCTCTTCCCCTCCCTTCATAATTCAAAGGTTCGTCCTTATCAAGGGCTTATGGAGGATGCTACGAAACTTCAAAGGAACCATTCGATTATCTTCGCCATCTCAAGACCCTTAAGAGACCATATCGAAGAAAATTCCTATTTCTTTAAGAAGACTAAATTCTATTTACATGATTGTTGTATCGTTTTTAGAAACATTTCTTTTCCGTTATTGTTATGTAAACGTCAGACGTTTATTTACTCGTGAAATCAAATAAAATCTTGCACAAATAGATATCAATTCAACGAAAAGATTTGGAACAAAACTAAGCGAAACCTTGTTCCGTGTATAAATATACTTTTACTGACTGTGCAATGAGAGTGACAAAATTAATAGTGCAATACACATACATATATTCGTGAATATGTATGCATATAGAAATTTTTGTCTTGACGCTTTATGTCACAATATGTATTTCCTTCTTTTCTTGCAAGTATAAGTCACAGTTACAGTTAACACAAACATATCTATAAATTCTTTAATAACTTATTCTGCGTTTATTTTGAATATTTTTGATTAATAAGGAAATTAAAATGTAAAAATTGTTAAACAGATTATCGTTTTAGGAATATATTTATTGATAAAAATAAAACGTTACTGAAAACGTATATCCATAATCGAGTTAGAAGCAACTCTGTCCAATATTTAAGTTTAATCCATTTAATCACGTCCGTTGCGAGAAAGCTTATATCTCTATCACACGAGAAAAACAGTCGCTGCGCGAAATGAATAGTACAACAATAAGCTCAAATTCCTGAAACAAGCGATCTTTAATTAAAGCGCTACTCCGCTGACAAGTGAAGCAATATGATACGAATCACATGTTCACGAAGTTACGATTAAATCGTTAAAATGCCTTTGCTTTCACGGAGAAAAGTGACACGCACACGCGCGCACACACGCAAATGATACCAGCAGAGGAAAATATCGACATAATTCTGTACAACAGTAAAGCCAGAAACGGTAGAAATAAAGGATATAGACTAAAACAAGGGATAATTAATGTCGCATATACCTGACAGTGCAAGAGAATACATTGATACGTGAGACGCGTACACATTGATACACGAAACCGTTGGTGTAGTGCAAATTAATTAATGTGTAATTTGCCGTGAAATTTTGAATATGAGTATCAACGTCCTTCATGAAATCATCAGTGATGTAAAATTCGTTCTGTGTCAGTATTCATATTATTTACCACTTTATTAATGTGATGAGAATCTGATTGTAAATATAAATTGCAATCACTTAAGGAGAATTATTAAAAAGAGGGTATTTTCTTCTCTCTATTCGGCGAGATCTGCATGGATATTCGGCAATTACGTCCCATGCAATACAAATTTGATAAATATGCAATTAGATGATTTTATTACACAAAATAAAAATGTTGAGAAAACTCAAGTTTTCTATTTCTCTTTTAATTGTATCGATTATTTTTCACATTTCTTTTTGTACGATTTTTACCTAATTTTGATCTTTTCTCTATAGGTACGTATAAATTTTTATGTTCTCTGTGAGTATTACATGTTACACATACATGACACATTCGCGTTATTTACAATATAATAAACATAATGACACATTAGTATAGAAAAATAAATACAAGTTTGTACGTATCACCAAATTGAACGTAAATGCCAGCAGAATTTCTCATCCGAGAAAAATATCAGAAATTTATCGAAAAATTCTCCAATGCAAAATTGAAGCGAGAGTCACGCAGCTGTACATACAAGTACATACGTTGCCATACACTTAATTAGAAATCTATCCGGCGAATATTTAGTCAACGTGATGCACGTTCGTTAAATAAACCCAACGAGCTTCCTATCGATTTATTGTTGATATATTAAAGAGAATTCTACTTGTTCTACCTTTCTATTTCAGGAATTTAACGTCGCGAAGGAACAACATGCGGTACAACCGTCGATAACAGAATCGGGTAATTATGAATGCTTTTAATAAGATTCCTAACACAAATATTCGTTGAAGTTACGTGTAACGACTCAAGGATTATGGTAACCTGACCTTACAGCATTATATTGAAATACAACTGTTTGATGAAGCTACTAGTAAAAGTGATACATAAAATAGTGATTTCACAATTGATTTTAATTGATGTTGGGAAGATAGTTTGTAGATTGTTTTGTTGGAGAAATTGGGCCAACGAGCATATTTAAGATCTTGTTCGACGATTTCTAATGTAGTATTTCATATTTAATTTCTATTATTTATTAAAATACTCTTTCTTGATATCGATGAACACTCCACACATCGTTCGTCCTCACGGAGAAAATTCGATTACGAAGAAATTTGTAAACCATCGTCGCGCATAATTGAAAGGCTCTCGGGGATCTATCTTCTAGTTATTACCATGATAATTTTTCATCCCACTTAAGTTTATGTAATACGTTTTCCCTGAAGGCTTGCCCCATCAGAGTCGCAGTTATCCAGGCGGTGGTGGAAGTGGCAGTCGAACGCTGGCAAGAAATTCATCCGTCAGCTCGCAGAGTTCGGTGGAAGGTGCATCTTGTTCTTCGAACCATCGTGGATCGTCACCTCAAATTAGAGCGTTCGGACCGGACGGACGGCATCACGCTCGACATGATCCTTTACACACCGCCTCTTCGTATCCACCTAGCAGAAGCTCGAGGTCGGTGTAGAAAAATATCATTTATTTTTTTACTATTTAATAATAACATCTTGCAAAAATAAAAAATTACCAAATGAATCTTTTTTATTTTTGAGATTTTACAAAGTTTGACCACGAATATCTGAAAGTAAATAATAATGCTTTCTCTTTTAAATTTTGGTAAATGATTTTTATCAATTTTGCGTAAAGTCGTCTTAATTTGTCTTAATCGTCTTAATCGGAGTTAAACAAGTATCGGAATATGGATAAAAATATATTAGTGCGTGATTTATTCAAGCCACAAAAATACAGTCACTTAAAATTGCTCAAGTACATGGGGAGAATTTTAAGAAAAAATTCTCTCTGTGTACATTTATAACATTGATTGTTTTGGTACGAAAAATTTTCTGCTTCATTTGAATGAATAACAGCAATGTATTCATTATAATGAACAAAACTTTTTTTATGCTACATTTCTCTAGGATTTGAAGAATAGATTTATTTTAAATAATGTTTTCTTTTTCATTTGTTTTCGTCTTTGCATACGTAACTTCTATGTATATGTACGCAGAGATAAAAGTTTTCCTAAATTATACAGCAGCGTTACAATATTTTATTATATGATTGTCTGAATAAATTATATATATAACGTACTATACACGTGGAGACGTATAGTTTGGAAATTTTTCACAGATCTCCTTCACCAGCTCGTGCGGCGTCCTTGGATGCACGTTGTGCAAGTCCTGCCAGTTACACGGGCAGCCTGCACAGTGGAAATGCGTCACCTTCACAGACTTCTTTGTCGTCCGTAGCAACGGGTGTAAGTTCCACTTGCGGGTGTTCGCCGATGAATGCCGTTCAAAGTACTTCCAGACAGACTAGTCGTTGCTTATCGCCCCTTCTCATCCCACCGCCACGTGCTTCCGTAAGGTAAATAATAGAATTCTCATAAACGTGATAAATATATTTAAATCTTCATGAAAATGTAAAGAACGTCATTTCTGTGTAAACCGTGAGATAATAAAATTCAGATAAACGCGTGCGCGTGATGAAAATGTCACGAGAGATTATTTCTATAAATATAATAATATTATTATTTTAAGATGGAAAAACAAATTGTTTCATCAATATGTTAATATATATTAGTTAGTTCTTTTTTCTATAAATTAACCTTTCAATATAAATATGATATAATAATTAACACTTTTGCTTCCGGCGATTCTAGCGCGTAAATTACGTCAGCGGTTGCAAATGTGTTAATTTTCAGAATTTCTGTCCGTAATATGAGGCATTAATTAGAGAGAGGTCGCAGAGATTTGTTTTCGGTAATTGTTAAAACTTTATTGAATCCATATCAGTATATAAATTATATATTTGAAGCATACGGGAAAAAAGTTGCATCAACAGTGTAATTGAAATAAAACGGTTGAAACAATATCAATATTAATAAAGGAAAAATATCAGATAGTTGTCTTAATAATCTGGATGTCAGTTTAATGCTTAAAATTTAAATCTGTAGTAAATACGATTGAGCAAATTATTGATGTTTGTGGCAGTCTGTGACGTTAATGTTTAATTCAGGCAACTAAATTTTTCTTTAATTGAACGGGTTTTTTTCCGTGCATAAATTTGGAAATGTGATAATGCTATCTCTCTGTAGTAGCGACGGTGGCCCCATACCGCCTGCTTCTCCACTTGGTTCTTTACAACCGGACCTTTATCAAAGACGCGACGGTCCTGTCTTTCTCAGTGCTCGCAGGTATAATTAAACTTGGCTTATAAAACTTTCTTGATGATGTTTCTCTCGCTACGCAAAAAATAGTTGATTATTGCTAAAGATAGTACATGAGCACTAATTGCGATACTTGCGTAATCGCAGGACAGGAAAGCATTTGGGTAGGCTTCATCTGCGCTTGAGATACGACTTTGATAAATCGGATTTGGATGTGCACTTGATCGAGGCACACGATCTCGCAGGCAGCGATCAGGGCGGTTTCAATGATCCCTACGTCAAGCTGACTCTCAGCCCAGAAGTGGATAGCAGGAAAAGACAAACGCAGATCCACCGGAACGATCCAAATCCGTTTTTCGATCAGCATTTCAAATTTCCCGTCAGCTACGAAGAGCTGCAGGAAAAAACTCTAGTTTTACAGGCAATTATATATCGTAAAAAATCATATACATATAACAGAATATTCGTAGGATAGAGTAGTGGTAGTAAAACATATTTCCAATTTAATTGAAATCGCTCAAGTAACACGTTATGATGCAATTAGGTATTCGATTATGATCGTTTCTCGAGAAATGATGTAGTGGGCTCGGTGAGAGTAGCCATGGATAGCCTCGAACTGGCCTCTTCCACTTCCTCGGTAGAAGTTTGGGGTGAAATAGCGAGAGAACGCAAACCACCGGAAGAGATTCAAGAGGTTCTAGTTTCATTGTCTTATTTACCGAGTGCCGAGAGGCTCACGGTTCTTATGATGAAAGCGAGAAATCTGTTTCCTCAACAGGTAGGATATAAATAAGGCGATTACGTATTACATCGATACAAATCAAAGGTTTCTGTTTTCTTCAACTTTGCGTCACTTGTTGCTTTAAAAGTGGAGAGTGAAGCCTTTGATTTACTTGTTTTTCCACTAGTATAGAAATATTAAATGAAACGCCTACTTATTTCTTACTCTCTAAATTTTTTGGAGTGGAATCTCACTCTTTTCGAGTCCGAATGGAGTGAAATTGCACTTTTTGAAAGAGTGCCATTATTTACTCTTTACTTGGATTGATTCTTTAACTCTGAAGAGAGTGCCATGTTTTACTTGAACCGATTATTGTTAGCAGTATTAAATTCATGGACGAGAGCTTCACTATTGCTTGTTCACTGCAATCATCGTATAGAGGCTGTATTCTAATTCAAAGCCAGTACTGAAAATGTACAATTCTTCACTTTTTGCTTTAGAGTAAATTAATTGACTCTATTGGAGTAAATATTCACTCGAATAGAGTGAAGTGGTCAGTGACACCATGATTTCACTCCAAAAATTTTAGAGAGTAAATTGCCTTTGCATTTATTATCTTTTACAAAAACGTTTATATTTTGTTCATATTTTGCTGGTTATTTAATAATTGTCTTAATTGTCTTGGCGAAAGATTCTGAATAATATGTGATACAGGACAAGGAGACATTGGATCCTTTCGCAAAAGTTAGTCTTCTTTGTGGAGAAAGAAGAGTAAAGAAGAAGAAGAAAACGGCCGTTAGGAGGGCAACGACAAATCCCGTTTGGAACGAAGCGATGTCGTTTAATATACCTGCCTCATCACTCGCATCATCGGCTATAGAGGTATACAACAGTCGATATATTAAAAAAAAATGGCAGAAATAGATTAGGCAGAATTACATTTGTGTGCCAAGATATGTGTGCTGGACTCGAGCAGCGAATTGATCGGCGGAAACGCCATTATTGGATCCTGCATCATTGGACCAGCTACAGGCGCGGACAGCGGTAACAGTCAAGGACGAGAACACTGGCTTCAAATGACGCAGTCACCGAGGAAGCAAATCGCTGAGTGGCACACGCTACACTAGTTTGATCGTTTCTACGATCTAGCCGTTTGATCGCCCGAGTAATTCGCGTCCTTGATCGAAGGAAATACAATCTGTCGTCGTGTAACGTCGTAACGAATAGTCAAATGACCATATACATATACGAAAGGTATAGCGATATATTATATGTAAAGTGGCAAAAAAATAACATGTACCTATTTCTCCACTGTCTCAACTAAAAAGACAAAAAAAAGGGAAGAAAAACCCAGCGACATGTTAAGAAATCATTCTTCTGCACTTTTATAGATATATTAATAATCGTTAAAAATCCATAACATTCTGGTGCGCATCAACATTCGATGCGCAAAGAGAAACAAAGTAACGGCATGAATATTCTTCGTATGTCCATGAACTAACAGGCACTATGCAATCGTACTTTCGTTGACTGCACAACATTTTGCGCTATACGCGTGATCTAACTGTACATTTCTTAATTTTGGATACTTGAACGATTTAGAGGTGTAGTTTTTAAGTAATATTGATGCTTTAATACAGATTCTCCGAAGTTACAATGAAGGAAACGTGATCCAAACTGTGAAGCAAAAGCAGAGACAGATCTCGCGTTTCGCTTAACAGATCAATAATCAAACGTACAAAGTAATATTTTAAGATAAGACAATTATCACAAAATCCAAGTACGCTGATCGAATCTATTGTCTTGACTAAGAAGCTACTTTCTCTCAGGTTTATCCCATATTTCTCTAATAATTATGCTTCTTCTTCTTCCTCCTACTCCTCTTTTTCGAGAAAAAAGAAAATTACATATATCGGAAGCCTAAATCATTGGGTGACAAATATGGCCTATAGAAGAGTATTTAAAGTACGCCGTGTCTATAGCTTACAGGCTAATCGAAAAGGCCTAATAACCCCGTGAATGAGCATGCTAATCGCAACAGCGTATTGACTGTGTCGTTATCGCTGTGTATTTTGTCAAGTGTGTAATTCATATGCTAAATAAATTGAAACATAATGTGTGTGTAAAGGAAGCAAGTACGAGACGTATTTCGTTTAGTATCAAACTTGATTCAAACAATAGGCGATCTTAAATATTCATTTGTCATTGATCTTTCTCTCAACGTTGTCGCTTACAGGTACGCGCATTTATTTATTTTCTTACTGAACGACGGAAAATTAAGTCTGGTTTTTACATGAATCAAGTATTACAAACGTATCCGACCAAAGTCACCATATCACATTGATAATTTATGCTTTCATTATCGAGCCTATTAGTTTTCACTTTAAATGTCGAAATAACAGCCTGCCGGCTATCAAAGAGTTTAATCGTATATATGTATATCGTTATGTTTAAGTGTCTGCGATTTGTCAGTCGAATTGCATTGTAGTGACCCATTGTTGGAAAAAGAGAATTAAATGTTAATATGAGCGTTAAATATATCATTATAAAATAAAAATTATAATGATTATAAGTATAAATATATACAAAAAACTGTTAAGAGAAAAATCATTAAAAATCTTTCTAGATGAGAAGAAACGTTTCCATCACGTGGAAACGTAGTCCGAATTGTACGCTTAAAACTTATATACATATATTTACGGTATTTCTATTATATATATACACATATATAAAAAATATATAGTAGAATTAGAAATATCTTATATGTGCAGCTGCAATTGTGAAGGTGGACATTAGTAATAGGGATTTTCTACAACAAGTCTCGAGTTCAATTCTCTTCTTAAAGTTAAAAGCAGAAGTTTTATTATTAAATAATAATAAAAAGTTTAAAAAAATACAGCGTGTCCGCTAGTCTTGCGTCTATAAGATTTTAATTTTGAAACATAAATGTAAAAGATAGAAATTATGCTTTGCGAGTGCTTTGTGAATGATATCGAAAGAGAAGTGATGTGGAAAAGAGCAAATCAATTTGGACAATAAGAACGAAATGCTTACTTGAAAATCAATTTAGATAAAATAATTAAAGGGTCAAGTGTAATATTTTGAATGTTTTATATACACATACATCAGTTCTTTAAATCAAGTTTGACTTATCAAACATTCGTAGCCATTATTGATTTTCCATTAAATAAGGTGAAAGAGTGAATCGAGTGATTTAAAAAGTATCACGAAATGAAAAGAGATTAATTTATATCATTTGTTGGTACGTGGATATTAATTTAAAACTAAATAATTCGGTTAAAATGATTGATATATTTTCAAATTAAAGTCTTACTTTCAACATTTCTAAGATGACTAGCATTTTGCTGAATACTTTTCCTTGTAGAGCTATTTGTAAAGTCAGGATCTTCACTGCACTACGAACAGTTTTTTAAATCGCTCGACTAGTTGACCTTGTATTATCGCTATTACTGATCTCCATTTTTCCAGCTGCGCTATATTAATATAAACATACACTTGACAAATGGTCTTATATGTTTACCGTCGTACAATCATCTTGAGTGTCTGCTGAAATGTACTTTCGATATTGCTATATTCTACCACGTCAGTGAAGAGTTGTTTATAAAGCGTACTTACACAAATTCTCGTTATATAAGAGAAGCTCAATTTTTTTCCAAGCTTAGGTCAAATTATATTTATACAATAAAAAATTAACTCGACTTGTTTGACATGTATGTAGATTGAAAATTCAACTGTTGACCCATGAAACACCGATGTCGTAAGATCGGTTATTTCACAGAGCCAGCGCGAGTTGTTATATTTTTTATGAATTTATTTTTATGAATAAAAGAAAACTCGTTATGGTTCTTCGATCAATAGGAATGACTATTGATGGACCTGAATTTGCCTTGCATTATACGGTATATACCAAGAAGAGCCTCACTTAATATCTTAATTAACAAAAGATCTAAAAAGTGAAAAAGGTCACGTTCGTCCTGCCAATAAAGGATAAGGAAGAGCATTTTACCTTACTTGTCGAGATTTGTAAGTAAAGCGAAAGGAACATTGTTTCGAAGGGTTTTTAAAGATATGTCTCCAGTGTCCGTACATTGTAAAGAGTAAATAATGTATTCTAAATGTAATGTGTAATCAATATTTTCTCGTAATGTAACTCTCGATCTAATCATAATTCCTTTCAAAATAAAGAGTAACTTATTTACATCAGAGATCCGATATATTTTATCTAAAACTACAAAGTGAATTTTTATTTGCCGTGAATAGATGGAGAATCAGTCTACTTCCGACTAGGCATATGTGCAATAAGAGGGCTTGAGTAAAGAAATTGTTTTTCTCTCACATTACTATTGTGGCAGAACAATATCAAGGTTAAATTTAGCAAACTTAAAATGTAATAAATTTTTGTCATGTTGTATTCATTGCATAGCACAATATGTACCTAAATATAGCACTTTTTTTTTATTGTCTAAATTTGTACATTTGTACATTGTATCGTAACAAGTTACAGCAGATTTTGGTACATAATCTTCCTTCCTAAATAACAATGTGATTTGCGTAAGTTGCGAAAGCAAAATTTACATGCTATATTTATAAGAATTTTGAACTAATATTTTTCGTTAACTTGTCTATTTCTAAAATATCGACAAACTTCTTTGAGCCCTTCTGCTGAACAGAAAGGATTATGCTCGCTCCATTCTCATGCCACTTTGCTTTTAACAATACACAGCATCCTTTACCTATCAACAATTTTCATTAAAGAAATGATGTAATATTCAAGTAAGAAGAAAAGATGAAAAGTAGGTACCAAGTTGCCCCCGTTCATGAGCTGCTGCTAATTGGTTAACAACACGTCTTTCCACTTCATACTTGATGGAACGAGCACCATAATGGACGTCATAGCCATCCGCTAGTACCGATAGAACCTCTCTGTCCCATTTTAATTCCATCTTGTGCCTTTCTTTCGCGCGTACAGCCCATGCTTTCAATTCTCTAGCAACCAATTCTATCAATTCTGCTCGAGAGAATGGCAAAAAATATACAATTTCATTTATTCTTCCCAAAAATTCATCTCTCCGAAAATGCTCTTTCAGTATTGGACGCACCTAGAACGTCAACGTCAGACGTAAGACTTTATTAAACATTTTTCTATCAAATATATCTCTTGTTTTCACTTTACATACCACTTGATCCTTAAAATTACGAGATATCTCAATACGTTCTGGTTCTTGATCTTCATCAACGGTATTGACTAACCTATGGTTTAACAATCTTTCAGCTTCTGCTCTTAGTTGCATCGCATGTTCTGCAATTTCCTCGCTTCCTAAATTTGATGTCATTATGAAAATAGCATTTTTACACTCGATTGTTTTTCCTTTACCGTCAGTTAATCTACCCTTAAGAGTAATAAACATTATTACATCATTAAAGAATCTTGCGAGATAGACAAAATGATTTAAACGATGATAAATAACTACCTCGTCAAACAGCTGTAGCAAAACAGTTAAAACATCAGGATGGGCTTTATCCACTTCGTCAAATAATACAACAGCGGAAGGGGATTTTTTTAAAAGTTTTGTCAGCTGTCCACCGTCATCGTGTCCTACGTATCTAACAAGAACAAATAGATATACAGCAAATTTGAAATATACGATGTACAAACTTGAAACTTGAGAAATGATTAAACTAAAATAAAAATAATAATAGTATTTCAAAAGTACCCTGGTGGTGCTCCAATTAATTTTGCAACTTCATGTTTTCCTTGATATTCAGACATATCTAATCGAATAAAACTATCCGATTTATTTCTGTGAATATAAGCAGCTAATTGCTTGGCCAATTCTGTTTTGCCAATGCCTGATGAACCCAAGAAAAGAAATACCAGCGGATGCTCCTCGTCTATCCAACCATTTTCTTTCCTTCTGATAGCTAATACATTAAGTAACGTATTAATCACTTGTAAATGTATCTCTTTACAAGTTATTTTTCAATTAAAACATACGATAAAATGGTAACTCACTAGAAGCAACGATGGAAATTGGTCCCTCCTGTCCTACAACGTGTTGCTTCAAACGTTGCTCCAATGGAAATCTACGACGTTCTTCTGCTTCCTAAGGAGAAAATTTTTCTTCACATACAATATGCAAGTTATTTTGTTTTTTTGTACATAATTTATACATGCAACACTTGTGTAAAGAAAAATAGTTTGTGTATACACCTTTTCTTTTACTATTTCATCATATTTAATGGCATGTTTGATAAGCATCTCTTTGATTTCTCCTTCTTTAGCGTATTCAACCGCTCGGTGTCCCGCTTCATTTTCTATCGTTGGATTGGCTCCCCCATCTAATAACGCTTTGACACAAGTTTTTGAATCGGCTAACACAGCATAATGTAATGCTGTAAAACCTTGGAAAGTTGCTCGATTATTTAATCGATCAGAAAATTCTTCTTCCCTCTTTGTAAGAACTGAAATATCCCAATTCAAATGAATCACTAATTGTGAGTATATCTGCATCGAAAGTTTCATATTTAACATATTCTTGAAATTATAATTTTTGCATTTTGCATGTGTCTTTATGTTACAATAATATTTATATACGTGTAAAACAGAATTAATACCATCCAAAGAATGTAAACTCTTTTCCATAGCGGTTCTGTATACATTAACAAAGTTATCTCCCGCATTTATGTCAGCGCCATTGTCCAATAGAATTTTGATTATTTCATCTTTTTGATTTATAGCAGCAGTTTGCAACGCTGTCCAACCCAATGGATGCCTGGTGTTTACATCAATGCCATCTGCTATAGACTAGAATATGTGGTGTTATTTCTTTTTCTATTAGATATTGTTTTGTAATGAAACTAAGACGATGGATTAACACTATGATTGTCTCATAGACAAGTTGCTATGTTTAAGACCGTCCCAAGTATCCCTAGTAGCACAGTGCATTGGCCAATATTGGTCATGGAACAAATGTAAATATGGAATATTTAACAATGCAATAAGAATAATTTTCTAATCAGAAACTCTTCAGGATCGCCAGCAAAAATTAAAAACAAATAATTTGGTTGACCATATCTGGCAATTTTTAATACTTTCGTATCGCTACGTTTCGACCATGGGTTTTGGTCCTTTTCAAGCAAGTGTAACTGCAATTTTAAATTTTACGGATTGATACATTGTTAACATTTGTGATATTAGTTTGACGGTTGTATAAATGTGTATTACCTGTATTAATCGTGCATAGGATCACGTGTATTTAGTGGTGTTGTGAGGATGGTCATTATAATCCTAAACTAAATTCGAGAGTGTTATAGAAAGAGAGAAGCCACAAAGATATTTTTAAATAGACATATGGACTTACATATTACGTGAACTTATCTTGAGCACTGGCAAAACATGACTGACAAGAATAATTTTGATACAGTATTAGACCAGCATTGCTAAATCAGTCCACCTTAGAATATTGCACCAATATATAGTGCTACTAGGGCTGAATCTTAGGATGTTACAAGAGCATCATATTAGCATCTCAAGACTTAAGTCACTTAAGACGGAGATAAGCTTGAAATAAGTACGGTCTACAAATATCCCGGCTAATATGTTATTAGAAAACTTACCTTTTTTAATTCAGAGACATTACCATACTGGACAGCGCGAAAGAATCTTTTCTCTACAAAGAGTATTAAGAATTATCTTTCTATTAGCGTACGTAACTTTTGGATTGTGTCTATACGCATATAATTACAGCGTGTACCTTTCAAATGTAAAGTGGAACAAAAAACCATTAGAAAACTGAAAAGGCCAAGATTGGCCAAGAGCGTTCCACGATGCCAATGCCTCCCGCCACATTTATCGCCATAATCATCGTACTTTTCCCTCGTGGTTGTCGAGAGCGTTGCAGGGAACTTGAGGAAAATTTTATTCAATGACAATCTATACGGCGGATAGAGTTGAGATGCCAGTATAGAGGAACGCTGGACATAACCTCTCTGACAGCTCCAACACGTTGCGTTGAAACGCTGTCGGTCACCGTCTTTAAAACGTATCCGACTCAACAGCGTCTCCGGCGTTCCCTTCCTTTTTATCACAGGGCATAATTTTAAAATGCACAGTCGTGACATGCCAATTGGTTAATTTTTTACCAGATTTACAGTCGCGTGTCGGTCGCACCAAGTGCGCTTGAAATATTGAAGACGCCGCGGCCCGCGCCGCCACAATCCTACACCTTTTCCATTCTCTTGCATCGAATCGATTTCTGTGTTATAGACCATCGTTACTAAAATACAAAGGCAAACAGTGCTCAATACCAATTTTTTATTCTTTTTATTTGCATAAATGCAACCGAGTTCCCGAATAATAATTGTATAATAGTAGATTAATATTGCAAGTGTATTGGCCAATACTTGGCAATGCAATAAGAATATTGCAAAATATAGACACTTTGGCTAAATAAGAGAAGGCGTCCACCCAAGGAAGAATAAAAAGTCAAATTGACTTGAAATTTTTCTTGGGCATCTTACAATATTGAGAATATCATTCTCCTAGCTACTATATGTATAGGGTGGTATTCCACAATAAGTGTTTTCTCTGCAATGATTCCTTTAAAAGGATACGATTGTCACGTAAGCGTAACGGAGATCGAAAGGATCCTTTGGATGCTTGGTCATTTTGGAGCCAGCTGGCCGCCATGTTGCGCGCATTGAAAAATTGCGCTTCCTCCGTTCAACATTGCAACAATCGTACTTGGTGGCGAGAAAAAGACTCATCCGATGTAAATACTGAAAATGTAAGCGTCGACTGGCCGTCGGGCAGAAATGGTAATATACGGCGCGTGTCGGCGACGTTGGACTTTTTCAAGTGAACGCGGTGTCTAGAGAACCGGCCAATCTCGCGGGGGTTCCAGAATATTCCAGAACGGATTGCGGAACGGTGGCGTGGCAATCGGCGCGTGCCACAGCGCAGCCATGATTGGCCAGTTTTGAAGCGAACTTAGCAGAAGTGAGGTCTGCGCGAGTGTGCGTGAGGTGCATTTCCTTGGGAGTATCGTGCGCGAGCGTGTCTATTGGATCTCGTCCGCCGTTAATCGCGGCCGCGACCGTCGTGTAGAGTCGTTTTGACTGCGAATCGCATCGAGTCGACTCCTGCTTCGACGTGTGCCGACGAGAGCTGCCGAACGTTCCGTCTCGTGTCACCGAGGAAGTGTGTCCAGGTCGATTCGGTGCCCAAACACCAACAGCCATGGCCGCGATGTCCGTGATCGGGATCGACTTTGGAAACGAGAGCTGTTACGTGGCTGTGGCCCGCGCTGGCGGCATCGAGACCATCGCCAACGACTACAGTCTTCGCAGTACTCCGTAAGTACTCGCCGAGAACTCGAGACGGCCGTCGCCGAGGGATACCGGTATCGCCCGTCGCGCCGCGCCGCGCCGCGCCACGCCACGCCACGCCACCGCCGCCACCGCCGCCGCCGCCGCCACGCCACGCCACCGCCGGTCCGGTCGCATGGCCTTCGCGCGTCGTCATCTTGCGCGCTGCGACACGAGACTTATCTCTTTAGCCTGGAATACTATTTGGAAAGCGATTGTCTCCAAAATGAAGAATGTTTTAGCTATTTTACCTTGTAGGATCGCCTTACCATTTACAGGCATCTCGTTACCAGGCTGTCATACTCGCGTGTTGACGTGTTTTCGGAGCATCCGAAAAAGTCCCGACTGCGCGGCTTTCGGCCCGTTTCTCCTTTTGGAATTGTCAGTGCGCTTATATTTATCCTCCGTAGCCGCCGACGCCGATTCTTTCGCTTTATGTCAAATTTTGCATCGCACATGATTGCTAATTGTAAATAAAAAATACGTGAAGCAAAGTAACGCTCCTCTTCCATCGCTTTTATCTGTCTAAACATAGGTTGGGCCGAGAAAAGAGATTTTTTTTTCAAAGCACGTGTATATATAACCTCTATAACTTTACTATCGAGAAGAACGTGACGGACATAACAACTATGTCGAGGTACCAAGAGTCCGAGTGTCGCTCGGATCGGAGGATAAAAGTTGGCTCGAGGGCACGTAAAATATTCCCAATAAAAAACAAATATGAAATACTAGAGTTGGTAGTAGCACAGTGCATTGGCCGATATTGTCCAACGTAAAGCCAATATTAGCCCTGGAATAAATGTAAATATTGCACGATAATAATTGTTTACTATTAGATTGATATTGCAAGTGCATTGGCCACTGTTTAATAATCTAATAAAAATATCGATACAATAATATTGGGAATGCTAGATTTACATTATTTCCCAATATTGCGCAGATATGCTCTTTGTGTCCAGAAACATTGTATTTTCTAGTGGAGAAATACGTTTAAGAAATTGATACATTTGTTTATATCAAATATAATGCTTCTGGATGCAGAAAGCATGTTGTAGATTGGGCTTAAATAGCACTAAAGTAACGAGGAATCCTCACGCTGTGCTTTCCAGGTCGTGCGTGGCGTTTAGTGGAAAGAACCGAATACTTGGAGTAGCAGCCAAGAACCAAATGGTGACCAATGTGAAGAATACTATTCATGGTTTTAAAAGATTATTAGGTAGAAAATATAATGATCCGCAAGTTCAGTGCGAGCTGCGGTTTCTTCCGTTTAAAATATCTCCGCAAGCTGATGGAAGCGTCGGTATACACGTAAGTATCACATTGCGTGAAAGAAGGGAATGACCCAAGATTACATTTTTCTAAAAAATTATGGGAAATATAAGAGATAAGCCATAAAAGTATGTATCCCATTTTGTGTGATGAGAAATTTGTTTAGTATTTTAATTGCTACAACTTCCCTCGCGTGTAATGACTGAGAATCGAAAGTAATTTGGGCATTTCGCCAGGACTCTCTCATTTCTGAAGAGACTCGTATCTTATTTATATCTTTTAAGGATGCTACGATGATTCATTAATGTCGCACACATGTTGCGTGTATTTGGTGAAAATGAAGATGCACTAAAAAAAAAATAATATTTCATGATTTGTAGATTGCGAAAAGTCATGTTAATACATTGGATATTTTAGGTACACTATCTTGGAGAGGAGCATGTCTTTTCACCAGAGCAAATTACAGCTATGCTCTTTACGAAATTGAAAGATATTTCCGAGACAGCGCTACAAACTGCTGTTAACGATTGTGTCATATCAGTTCCTTCGTACTTTACCCAAACTGAACGCCAAGCTCTGCTTGATGCTGCTAGGATTGCGGGCCTTAATGTTCTAAGATTATTTAACGAGACTACTGCTACTGCTCTTTGTTATGGTATTTATAAGCAAGATTTGCCAGCGGCAGAGGCACCTCCTAGAAACATTGTTTTTGTGGATTGTGGTAACGCCAGCTTGCAAGTGAGCGTTTGTGCCTTTCATAAAGGCAAACTTAAGGTCAGTGTTACACAACAAATGTTACAACAGGCCTAACAGGCCTTGTTATCTTGTGTTGCGAAACATTTCATCATGTTACTTTTATTACGTTGAAGATGTTGGCAAGTACCGCTGATAATCAATTGGGTGGAAGAGACATCGACGTTATTTTAACGGAACAGTTCTGTAAGGAATTTAAGACGCGATACAACATTGACGTACATACCAATCCGCGGGCGTACTTAAGATTATTAGCAGAAGCGGAGAAACTGAAGAAACAAATGTCGGCTAATTCAACCAACCTTCCATTAAATATTGAATGTTTTATGGACGAGAAGGACGTGCGCGCCGATATGAAGCGTAACGACATGGAAGCACTATGCGCTAATCTGTTTGACCGTGTGGAGAAAACGCTTAGGCAGTGCTTGTTGGATTCGAGTAAGTAAATGCTACTTCATCTTCGGTAGGCTAACCTTACCTCCAAGCTGGATATGTGTGACAGGATACTCTCGGTGGTTGCTACTTTCCTTCGGGAGATTCCGAAAAACAACCAGCGGTGTCCGTGAATTTCAACTTTGATTTTTTCCTTCATTAGTTTACCAAGCAGCGCACATTTCTCTGCGCCACACTCACCACCACCACTGGTTTAGTCTAAACTTTCAAATTTGCTACTCGTGATTTTTATGCTTTGAGCACATAAACACTTTCCTTCTATCGCTAGACGGTATCGTGTATATCTGGGTAGCAATACTCTGTACTCGTACTAATGAGGCTGAATAATTTATCAGAGTTGAAGCTAGAGGACATTCATGCGGTCGAGTTGGCGGGAGGATCGAGCCGCGTTCCCGCTATCAAACGTTTAGTGGAGGAAGTCTTTGGTCGACCAATATCGACAACGCTGAATCAAGACGAGGCAGTTGCTCGTGGTTGCGCCTTACAGTGCGCTATGCTCAGCCCTGCTGTGCGTGTCCGTGAATTCTCTGTTACCGATATACAACCGTATCCTTTGAAATTGACGTGGGATGCCACTCAAGGCGAGGAAGGGTATGTACAATTACAACTCTTGTTGTTATCTCGTTGTCACTAACGAAAATTGAATGTTTTTCCCAACTCTACTTTTCAGTGAAATGGAAGTATTTGAACATAATCACCCTGTGCCGTTCTCAAAAATGTTGACGTTCTATCGTTCGAGTCCGTTTACGCTAACTGCTAGTTACAGTGCACCACCTCCGTATTATCCTCAAACATATATTGGTATGAATTTACTTTTGCGTATCTCATTTTTCATCATTTTTTACAAATTCGAGTTTAGGCTAGAGGGGTATATGTTTATCCTTGTCTCATGTCTTGCATTTTACATGCAGGAACGTTCACGATAAAAAACGTAAAGGCTACGCCAGAAGGTGAATCAGCAAAAGTCAAGGTGAAGGTAAGAGTGAATTTGAATGGTATATTAACCATCGCGTCAGCTTCGCTTATCGAAAAACGTGAGCCGACTCAACAAGAGAAGGAAGAAGAAGAGGCTCAGCAGCAGCAGCAGCAGCAGCAGCAGCAGCAACAACAACAACAGAATAATATGGATGTCGAGTCGCAAGCGACAGATAAGAAAGATAAATCTGATCAAGATGCACAGGCTAACGAACCACCAGCTACAGAGGTTTGTAACTTGGTTGTAACATTGTAAAACTTGTGAAAAAGGGATAATGGTAGTGTTGAGATAGACTATCACGATTTTGATGTATTATAGTAAATATTACGTATCACATGTACATGGAGTATGTAAAGTTCGGAATCATATTCTGTGCTGGTGTTGCGATCTTACGCGTTTATTACCAGCGTTCAGGTGCATGACTATGTGAGTTTGTTGTGGTTTAGGTGAGCATGGATAAGACACGACGGAACTCAGATGCTGATGATGGTGGAACAGGTGCTAGGGGTTCTGCCCCTTCCTACTCCTCCAGGATTCTCTCTTGGTTCAGCTCGGTACGGGGCATACTATCTCTACTTGGACCCATACGCATACATTCATATCGAGACATATGTGTGTGATAAACTCTAAGATCTTAATCGTTGCGTTGTTGTGAGTTACTGCGAGCATTCCTCCGTATTTAGGGCTGATCTAGATATATTCGTTACCTTCTATCATAGCTTTTGTCGCTTATTTCCAAGTAGAAATCCCATCTGACGCAGCCTTCTCACAGTAAATGCACGATAATCGCCTTATACAACGCAAGCGATCTTTGTCGATATATCTTTGTCATCAATTTGACAACATTAAACGCATCCTCGCATATTTTATTTTTAGCAATTTATTTCATTCGCATTTGTTATTTTCTTCATAAGGCAATTGTGAGAGAAATTATTGATCACAATAGTACATATCCTTGATATACCTTTGATTTGTATAGTTTATATTCTAGGATTTAGAAATTTCCATCGTTTACTTTCTCGCACATAAACTTTCATTAGGATATGAGTAGATAGCAAGCACTTTTATACATGTGTTCTGTGAGCCTAAGCATAAGCTTAAGAGTAGAGCGTTACAATTGTCAAATGCATGGTTATATTTGGCTTAAGCCCTGAAATTTTTAACCCTGTGTCGATTTCTTCTGCAAACTCGGCTATTTAGCGACGTTATAAAGATCTAGAGAAAGATTGAGCTTACTCTCTCATAAGCTATAAAGTAACATCACAATGTATAATAGCCGATGATGTGTCATACTTGATCGTTTTTCGATTAATGCATATGGGTCCAAGAACAGCTGTGTCACAGCCGTGCTGTCTGTCTTTGCTCTGCTATTCTGTACACGGTCGCAGAAGGAAAAGAGACAGTGATATATCTATTAGAAGCGCGTTACATCGAGCAGTATGTAGCAGAATATTCCTGGGGTATAAAGGCAGGCAACACTGATTAGTTTTCAATTCGTATAGAGAGGGAGGGAGAAAAGAGTGACAATTTACTTTACATTATACACATACAAATGTGTAGACTATAAAATTTATTTACATATTCCATCTCTGTTACACGTGAGACGACACTATACGGATTCAAAACTACACACGAACGTGTATACCCCATTATCCTTGTCTCATCTTTGTCATCACCTGAATTTCAGTTTAGTTGTATTATTATACAAATTTTTCATTTACTTTACCATTTTTACGTTAGGCACATACATTAAAGTGTTTGTAAAATTTATGTTAAAAACAAAAAAGAAAGCGTTTCAAGAAAGTATTGTAATAAGGTAAGTAGATAATGTCATATAGATGAAATTTCTCAATTTATACTTGTGTATACACGGTATGCTTATTTATTCTATTTTAAATAACATTTGAAACATTCAATTGAAAAAATATCAAGAAATACGATCGAATAATAAGCTTTCTTGCAAACGATTTTTTTTTAATTGTAGGTTCGTGCAAAATGCGGTGCTAAAGAAATATATATTGATAGTTAATAGACCCTTTCTATTTTAGGGGGATGATAAAGGCGACGATAAAAGTAGGAAAAAGGTTCCGATTCGTACAATCGACTTACCTATTGAAGCTAATATTTGTGGACTATCTCAACGAGATCTCGATGCTGCAGTGGAAAAAGAGGTATATGTATATCACTGTCAGTGATGCAACTTGGATGTTGTATTATTTTCTCTTAAATTATAGCGAAAGAACTTGTTGGTGTAAGTATTACATAAATTGCATGCATTTTGTTGGTGGACAGGGTAAAATGATTGCTGAAGATAAACAGGAAAAAGAACGAGTTGATGCGCGTAATGCCTTGGAAGAATATGTTTACGATCTGCGTGCTAAATTGTCCGAGGAGGATCAATTAGCTACATTCATCACGGAAATAGATAAGGAAGTGCTATGTCGTATGTTAGATGATACTGAAAATTGGCTCTATGAAGAAGGAGAAGATTGCCAACGACAGATTTACTCTGAGCGATTAACGCGTTTGAAGGTATATTATTCTTTAAAAATATACATCACTTAGCGATTTATATCTCATAGAAGTTTCCTTAATTTTTCAACCATTCTTTTAATCCTCTATGTTCTAATTCCTTCAAGTTCTCAATGCATACCATTTGCTTTTTATTAGTCTCAAGGGGAACCAATCAAGGAAAGGAGATTAGAATTTGAAGGGAGATCTTATGCGTTGGAAGAATTGGGAGTGGCATTACAACTGGCTAAGAAAAATTTGGATCAAATAAAAGTGTCACATGGAAAGGATGACAAATATTCTCATTTAACGGAGGAAGAAGTGAAAACAGTCGAGAGAACTGTACAAGATAAATGGACATGGTTGGAAGAGAAGCGTATTCTACTCGCGAGTACACTTCGCACGCAACAACCACCGGTCACTGTAGCGCATATTCGGGCTGAGAAACAAGTAAGCATTGAACAAAAAATCGTCTGCATATATATATATATATATATATATATAGAATAAGCAATTTTTTCAACATACTAATATTTTCATGGTTTATGCAGACATTGGACAGTGTAGTATTTCCTATCCTCAATAAGCCTAAACCTAAAGTAGAGCCGCCAAAAGCGGAAAAGGCAAAAGATAAGGCTGCTGATGAACAAAAAAATAATCAGAATCAAAATGCCCAAGGTAACAACCACAGTCAATCCAATCAACAGCAGCAGCAAACGGAAGAAGAAAAAATGGATGTTGAGTAACAGTCATCACAAATTATGTGTTTTTAATAATATTAAATCTATCATAATTGAAATAGGAAATATTTCATTTGGATAAATCACGTTTGTTGTCTCGAAAGCGCCTGACATCTGGTTGCACATACGATCATATTTCCGTTTCTTTTTTCCCCCTTTTTCTCTGTTAACACCTATTAATTTGGTAAATTATCTGGTAATCTATTTAATGACATATATATATATACATACATATACTATCATGAGCTTATGCCTATCGCGCAAAACCGAAAGAAATAATGTAAATTTGTGAAATTTTTTGATTATGCGACAGCTCATTGTAGCATTTGCGATATATATTATTGCAAATGTAATTATAATCTGGATAAATTAGAGAACGCACGATCGCGACGAATTATGGAAACTTTTATATAGACTAAAGGCTCTCGAGTTTTTTTTTCTTTTCAAGTCTATACTTTTCAAGTAAACTTTCTTAATATATAAAATATATAACTGAATTACACAGAAAAGATATTTGAAAAGGATTTTGAAAACTATTGCCAGTAAAACGAATTAATGTGTTGCGACTTTTTATGTATAAAGTGAGTGTTGAGTTAGACTTACTTGAGCAAATTGTGAACTAGGTAATGTCGCTGGCGATCTTATGTATCTAACGATACAATTATTCATTCCAACATTTTCTCACGGCCGACAGTAAATACTCTGTCACAAATTTTTTTGTTGCATTTACGATACTTAAATTAATTAATATTTCGCTAATTGAAATTGTGCTAAGTCCGCTTTAAATTTGGAAATAGTATCCACAAAGATGTTAAAGAAAATTGCAATTCCCTTTTCTTTTTTTTTTCGAGTTTTGATTGGACTTGAATCGATGTTTTTAGTGCAAAAATCACTCTAGAGAATTATTGTAATTCAACTAGATATATCATTGTACATAACTTGTAGGCATCTACACAATGACATAGTATATTTCTTTATCTATCACGATATTTATATTTCTATATTACTTCGCAGCACATAGAAAATTCATTACAGCGAAGATTTAGTCGTTCCTAGAATATGCAAGATAGGCGGTCCATATTTCACACTCTTACGCCTAACTTTGTTCCCACGTCGCTTTTAGCAACTAAGAGTCGCAAATTATTACGTATGTATAGTATACTTATTATTAGGAAGATGTAAAAAATGTGAGAGAGTGTTAAGAACACTTACTTTTTTTTGAATGACAAGTTTCCACCACACATACAATGCGTACTTTCTGTTATTCTCTTGTGTATTTCACGCATGTTACGTTTGTGATTCTTGCGCAATTATGTTTATAACATTATTACATTTATATGTCCAGCAATTATATCCAGTTGGTATCCATCAGTCTTATCCGGATTATGGATCAGATACTTAATAAATTTCACCCAACTTTCAACAGTAATGCATACAAGTTATCACACATTTCCATCTGATAAATATAATTTAATATAAATTCCTATTAAAAATTACTATATCCCCAACTTTGGTTTGCTATTACATTTCACATGAAAGAATCAAATAAATTTATTAGTAAGGAAATGGAAGTGTTTGAAAGCATAATGCTTTGATAATGTTTCTTTCGTTATATTATGGCTGTTAGATTTGAGTTTTATTAATTAATAAATATCTTAGTTAAACTACACACTTGTTTCATATTTAACGGTTTAAATGATTTAGAAATTTCTCTTCTTTTTCTCTCGCACAGCGAAATTTGAATAAATACGTTATACATGATAGGAGATTTCTAAAAGAAAATTATACGAAGAGAAATATGGGCACCTATCTTCAATAAACAAACAAATCGCTGAAACCTTGTGTTATTTATGTTTCATCACGAAGAAAAGAAAATAAATGTAGATAAACTTAATCTGTACTTTATCCACAAAAATATTTTATGCATCGTCTGATTTCATTATACATGGAAATATATATTTTAATATTTGTATAGACATTGAACAACACACTCAAAGTGTAACGCAAATGTGTAATGTTTGAAGAAATTGTGGAATGTAAGTTGGTTTTGTGTCGAGAAATCATTTCCATGTGAATTACGTAGCGCAGATGGCACTAATTGCAACTTGCCTCTAACCGATTGATACTGGCTTTGCCGATTGAAGCAGAACTGAAGAAGAAATACATTAAAGTACATAAAATGTTGTGTAACGACACTCAAAAGTTTTACTTAACAATGACACTTGGTATTATCCGAAACAAATGTGTTGACTGTGATTATGTCACAAGTGTATGGTCACCAAGGTGTACTTAATAATAAAGAACTAATCTCTCTTATCCGACTCCGCTGGTGTCTTTGATCGATCGTCAAAGTAGGCTCTGTATATAAAAACTCCTAAGGCAACATGTAACACTATTACCGCAACGCCAGCCGAATACACGTTACTTGGCACATTGTTGAGACCTAATATACCTAAACATAAATTGCAAAGATTTTATTATCAGTTGGTCCACCGGAGAGAGAGAGATATATATATATATATATATCTCGTACCGTCGAAGAGGAAAATTTTGCTGGTGAAGAACGCTACGACGGGTAGCGCGAGTATCACCACACTGTGATAAAGGACTGTTTTGAAGGCTTGCAGCTCCGTTACTTCCTAAAACACGTTGAACCGTCGTTACACCCTCTTTGTCAGCAGATCCAAGTGATCATAACAGGCAAAAATGACAAACTTACCTTTGTGCCTGACATGATGGCGACTACCTAACGTATGTACGCGTATATATGTAATATCAAAGTTGGGATATTAGGGAAATTGATGTCGACATAAATATGAAATGATGGATAGGAGATGCCGGTGAGATAGAGAGAGGTTGCAGGTCGTCCCTGTACATACGTCGCGTACCGCTCACTTGGACGTGACGTTGACGGAATGACGGTGCGCGCGCGAGAGCGAGCCAGCGAGGTTACGTTTTCAAATAGTACGGGACGAGTTCCACCAGGGACGTTACGTGTGCCCGGTTTCGTCACGTCCCGAGTTTTCGTGTCTGCCAGCGATTGTGTGCGCCTTGCTGGAACGGCCTTTATTTATGGAGTTATGATTGTGTATGCATATACGTAGAATCTCTCGCGGCGACACAGCTGATTCACCCGATTGTTGTACCGGATAAAAAGATGAACGAGCGTTATTCGCAATAACGGAGCTACTTTGCTGATCGAGAAGGAAAATCACACCTCGGAGGGACACAAAGATGGGATGTTGCTACAGCTTTTGCAAGGAGGACAGCGGGCCGCAGGTAATAAAGAAATAGCTCGCTTGCCTTATCAGCGATAGCTATATATCCTCCTCGCCAATTATCGCGGTTATCCCGCCTACTCGACGCCAGTCATGTATCGTATATATTTGGAAATATCCCTTGTTTGTTGTAGAGTGGAGAAGCGAACGAGAGAACACACTTGCTGGTAGATCCCGTCAGTAATAATACAAACATACCGAGAGTACATAGGTGGGCTATTTCACAAGAGTATCGAGCGTAAATAGACATCTTGTAATTTCCCTTGTGTTTCTTTGCAGTGACGATTATGTTAACCAATACGCAAGCTCCGTGCCTAAGAAGACGGATGAGCAGAGTGCATTGAATAGAATTTTACACGAAACTGCAGCGTGAGTGGAGTTTACCTTTGATTTCACTCAATTTCTGCCCATTTTCAAATCTTTTCTTCACATTGTTCTTCATATCGTTGTCACAGCAATGTCATAGATGTGGGCGCATTGGATACGCATAATCTGGAACAGCACGAATACATGGATAGATCTCGCGCGTATTCGAGGAGAATAGAATCGGGCCGAATTAAACTCCCCGAGGCTGCGTCTTGCCTACTCAAGGACATACCTGCTCCGGAACGAGTATTAGCGGCCGATCCACTCGCTGTTGAAGATGAAGAACTGGTAGCTACTCTTTCTTTCTACTTGCCATGTATTTCGTTAGCATTACGACGAGAGTAACACTTGTATGAAACAGATTACAGAAATGCTCAACAAGGCTGTGACAGCGTTAGGCGATGTAAAGGTCGAACACAAGGAAGATTTGGTCGTTCCATTTCTATCGTGATCGTTAAATGTCTCTTGAATTTATTTATAATTTCACCTCATTTGACTGGAACATCGTACGTTTGTCCAAGATAAATCGACCCGGCTCTGAATTACCACACTTGTTCTGAGATGAAGGATCGATTTTATTATCTAATATGTCGTGTATTATAAAGAGTGTTAAATTACTATTATTGATTTATTGTTTATGCTTGCTATGTACCAATAGCTTTACGATTATTGAATAGAGATATACATTTTTCTCTCTCTTATTTTTTACTTTGAGGTTTAGAATTAAGATGTGCGCCATAATCTTTTGCACATTTTATCCATATAAAATGTTTATGTAAAAAATTGATTTGTAATGTTACTACCGCACGCGAGCACTGATGGCATCATTTTTGGCCAATTTTCAATCTATTACTTTTCTACAAATATATCGAAGGAGATTATTTTTCGCGACTTGCCTATCACATTATATATATATATTATCTTTAATATAATATAATATATGATATCAATTGTTAAATACAAATTTGATGAATGTTGAAGCTACTCGGTTGCATTTTGAAAGTTTAATTTACAAAACAAACTTTATATTCAAATTATCCAACTATTAATGTCTGAATGCTTTTCAGAAGGAAAATCGATTTCAAAGTGACTAAAGAATGTGCTAATGGTTATACGCAATAACAGCAGAACATTTTGTATATACCTACCTTCAAGTAATAAAAAAATGCTATTATATTTTACCATTGTTTTATAAATTTAAATCATATGACAATAATTTTCTTGTTATAGCAATATTGTAAAAAAAAAATTTGATTTTATAAATATCTATCACCTTAAAAACGTGTAATTATTTGTACGATTTTTCAAGTATGATTTAATGCAGAGCTGAGAAGTAAAATATTTCAAGTATGTACCTCTGAAAGGGACTCTGTCCTCCAATAGGTCTATTTGAAGATTTGTCTAGTATTTTCAGTTTTCTCTTTGTAGCATTTTTACTCGTAAAATGAATCGTATGAATAGCATATTGTATTTATAGTTAAATAGAAAAATTGCAAGTATTTTTGGAGAAAGTATAGGTATATTTTGGTTCTGTGACGAATGGAGAAGAATGAGCAGACAGAAAGAGCAAGTTGCCTTGGTCTTTTCTAGAAGATGAATTGGTTTGAGAGAATGGCGTGGAGATTTGAAGAGCGCGCGTCGAGGGAGGGGGATGAGACGCATAACTCGATTGGCCGTCCGCGTAGAGGCGCAGAGGGGCATCGACCGATCTTGGCGTCGGACTGCCATCGGAGTATCGGACTGGCAGTTCACATCGTTCAGTGCCCACCAATACACAAGAGCTGAGGACGGTCTTTCGCCGACCATTGGTCCTCAATTCGCCGACCAATTGGGAAAGTGCCCACGAAAATAATCCAATGTAAGTTCACAAATTATCAAACATCAAGCCGATACGCAGCGCGGTCGCGTGCGCCCACGTTCGCGATTAACCCCCCGATCTCGCGGCCGTGTTCCGCGTCTGGTCGCGCGAGCCAGCAGCTTCACCGACGCCAAAAAAGCCATCGCCGCACGGCCATGTTTGCCGAGGCGATATCGTGTTGTTGCCACACACGGATGTCCGCGTCGCGTCCGACGGCGATCGACCCGGTTTCCCGTCCGCGGTGATCCGCGGCATCCGCGGTGACCCGCGGACGTTGAGCGGCGTCGCGTGCAGTCGCGTGCACCCAAGTATGTGTCGCGGCTCTGCGTCAGCGATCGGCCGCGACAGCGTTAGCGTCGGTCGCATCCCGAGCGGAGTCGGAGTCGGAAGCGAAACGCGCCAAGCGCGCGAGCGCGCGCGCGCGCGTCGCCAAAGTTCCGCGCCAAGCGCCTCGATGTCGCGCGCGCGCGCGCTCGCACGTGGACACCGCGCCTCGTGCCGGTTGCCGCCACGTCGGCGGGGCCTGGGCCTTGATGCTGACGCTCGCGCTCACGTCGCATCCTTCTGGACGCGGTAAATTTCATGCACCCTTAACCCCTTATGTTTAATATCACCGCTATCTTGCTTGCTTATTATTGTAGCGAGGGTTTGCCATGGAGCAACTTAGCGAAGGCCAGGCAGTTGTGGTTGGTAGTACGGGTGGGACGGTACAAGTTGTTCAGATGGGCCAGGGTGGACAAATGATGCTTCCACAGGCGATACAAGTAGCAGCGCCTAATGGACAGATCCAAGTCGTTCCAGTCTCTAGCCTGACTGGCACTGGTCAACAGATAGTTATTCAGCAGCCGCAGACACCACAAATCATTCAAACTCCCGATGGACAAACGTACATTTATCAACCTGTGCAATTGGAAGGCCAAGTGCAACAAGCGCAACCGACGGGTGAGTGCTCTATCTGCTTCCTTGATAGTAGTTGCCTCTTTCTATTCTCTTTCGTTTGCAGTGATAAATCTTAATGGCAATCTGATGCAAATCTCTGGCACAACGTCGCAAACTGCGACAACTGCAGCTACCACGACTCCGGTACAACCTTTGGGCAGCCCCACGTCGACAGTATCGCAGGCAGGGAACGTCGTAATGGTAAATAATTGCGCACGTCTCGCCATCTATTGTGCCTTTATGTAAACTGAGATTCAACTGAGAATTTCCTTTTGTTATTAGATGGTGCCAGGTAACAGTGGACAAACGCAGTTCCAAAGAGTAGCGTTACCTAATGCTGAACTTCTCGAGGAAGAACCACTTTATGTCAATGCTAAACAATATAGACGGATATTGAAGCGTCGTCAAGCCCGTGCTAAATTGGAAGCTGAAGGGAAGATACCCAAGGAAAGGCCAGTAAGTATATTACACTTTTCATCTTTTCCCCCTAGCATTTCACATTCTATTAGAGAGACAAAAGTAAGACGAGATTGAATCTTACAGAAATATCTCCACGAATCTCGTCATCGACACGCGATGAACAGAATTCGTGGTGAGGGCGGCCGTTTCCATTCAGGTCAAGCGAAAAAGCGAAAGTAAGTGTTAATTTGTATTATCCTAATACAAGTTTCTCTTGTAAAAGAATAAGAAACGGTGTCTCATCTTGGTAATTTTACGCATATAAGAGTATAATGGTTCCAGTAGAGAAAATGCAAACTCCACGATTACCCAGCACATCACAACCTCAACCAGCACCGATAACGTTCATACTGTAGCAATAGCAGCTGCAAATGTAGGTGTACAATATCACGACACAGACAATATGGCGTCCACGATTGTACTTGAAGTAAGATAACAGTTTCTATTCTCTAATCAGCGTCGCTTCTCATTTCGCAGAGACGCAAATTACATTTGCCGGTTCTAATTGTTTGTTGCAGAAGCCAAATATTCCTCTGCAAGATATGATCTCTGATGACGACATTGTTACCTCAAACAGTCATTTGATATAGATAATGTTATAAGTTGGATCGAAAAATCAACCAGTATGAGACGTTTCGATGTGTCGATGATTATATTGAACATCTGCATTTTGTAAATATTTCGGTGTATAAGTCTAATTTTTACGATAATATACGTAATTCTTATCTAATTAGGTATTCTCAAACTGTACATAAAGTGTTCTGGAGACTTTTAAATTTCATTACATATTTTACAATAATTAATGATACAAATCTGTATTCAACTCAATTCTCAAAGATATAAATAAACAATATTCTTATCAGTATCAATATTAGTAATATTAAATGTAACGTTATATTTAATGTTACTAAAAAACATAACATTTTTATCTTGCATTTCAACTATTAAAAATCCAACATTGATTTCAAGTCGGTTGTAGATATGAAAAACGATTAATATATCATATACATTACAAAAATTGTATAGCATTAAAGATTGGAAGAAAATAATTAAAACATTTCAATATTTTTATTAAAGTATGGAAAATTAATTGCTGTATTGGTAGAAACATATTTGCTGTTCTGAAGCACTTTGTGTGTGTGTGTGTGTATTTTGTGTGTATGAGTTGAGTATGTGTGTGTATCTATATATGTACAGGGTGTAACTAAAAGTAAGAGGACAAATTCCGGGAAGTTTCCCGCATTAAAACATAAAAAACATATATAAATTTATATATAACATGTGTTTTTATGTATAAAGAAAAAATATATATACATACATACACAAGTACCTACAATTTAGCAGTATTTACATTTTCATAATAAGTTTGCAGTACTCAAATATTTGATAGTTTTGTTTACGATATGTACGCGTATTAAATACATGAAAAGTTAAGTTTTTAGGAGAAACTAAGTTAAATTAGATAATTATATAGATAATCCTGTGTGAATGTATGAATTCTTTTAGCTATTACATATGTGAGACTGAAATTATAAATTGTACATATGTGCTGGGTATTATTTTAGATTTGATTAAGGTGTTTCTTTTTCTTTTTGCATATACAGGGTGGG